CTAATCTGTCGCCTTTAGAGAATTTGGTCTCAATTTTTCTGGCTCCTTCCTTTGTTCATACAGCTAATTACGAGCCTCAGATGGACATCCTGCCTCCTACACCATTTTTGCAACTAGTACATTAAGTTTGTTATATCTTGAGCATTTCTCCTGCAGCTTACGACTTTTCTCATTTGTTATTGGGGGAAAGTCATTTGGATGATTGCCTAATCTTTCCACCTTCACCAGACATTGCTGTGCATGCTCAGGGATTTGCTTATCTATTGAGAGAGGATGCTGTCATGCCTTGCCCTCTCTGTTTATCAGATCAGCGTGCCTCAGCTTCCCATTGCTTGGAGGACCCATATTTAAATTCTCAGAAGTTAGATCTTCTTCTTCCTATTTGGGTTTCTAGGCTTGATGCCACTATTCATCTTAACCTAACTCAATTTTCCCGGAATTGACTGCTCATTACAACAGTTTTGCGTTTCTTTATTTTCTTTCCAACTGTTGTCTGAGGCCTATCACAGGTCTCCTGTTCCACTTTCAGAGGGTCTTATTCATTTATTTACTTCTACTTTGGTAAGGTTATCAGCTTTTGCTCTCTCCTTGGTTTCTTGTTTGATTTGTTGCTGGGATCTTTTGGAGAGAGAGAGGGTGTACAACTTCCTTCTTTGGCCTTTAGAGATCTCAGAGAGGCTCCTTTTCTTGTACATTCGAATTTTGCAAGTATTCTAGATTCCATGGAATCTCGGGTGGATGTGGCCTATCTCCACTCTTCTCTTTCGACATTGGCCTCTCGCCTTTCCCAATCTTCTACTGAATGGTTTACTGCATTTCCAGTTTGACTTTCTAGACCTCTGCTGTCAGTTCTATGTTCTATTGGATCACAAGGGAGATTCTGACCTTATCAGTGAGCATTCTTCACTCATTTGGAGCTCTGATAATGCTACCAGTGACTACCCTATGGGGTCCGGTCCTGTGAGGGCTTGACTCAGATGGTTCGTGTCTGTATGAGAGATCTTCACCAATGATCAGTGGGTCTTTCAAGTTTTTAGTTATTTATTGACTTCTACTTTGGTAAGGTTACCAGCTTCTTCTCTCTCTTTGGTCTCTTGGTTGGTTTGTTGTTGGAATCTTTTGGAGAGAGATGCCTTGCTTGAGGGTGTACAACTTTCTTCTTCGGCCTTTTTCTCAGACATTCGATTTTTGCAAGTATTCTAGATTCCATAGAATCTCGGGTGGATGTGGCAGTGAGGGGGTTGGTCTTTCATTTTACGTCTCCTCCTCTATTATCTACCATACTGATTGCCTTTCTCCAACCCAAAGATTGTCTTACATCCAGTCGTCAGGCACAAGTCATCCAGGATCTTCTGTTCAAAGATGCCATAGAGTGCATTGACTACTCTCTCTCAAGGGTTTTTATTTTCGTTTGTCTGTAGTACCGAAGAAGATGGGCTATTGGTGACCTGTCATCGACCTTTCGTGACTCAATCATTTCCTCCAGCCTCCTTGGTTTACCATGAAGTAATTTCTTTCTCTGTGGTGGCACTTTGCTCCAGGTCTATGGGTGAAAAGTTCGATGTCACTGATACCTACCTTCATATTCCGATTGCAGTCTTCACATCGATATGTCCGTTTTGTGCATGAGAGACAGTTTTTGAATTTTGCACTTTGCCATTGCTTCTTCAATCTTTTCAGGTTATTTGTCCTCAATGTCCTTTCCAGGTTCCTAAATGGGATATCTTGGTGGTTCTCCATGACTTATCTCATCCACCCTTGAACTTTTGGTGTCATGTTCCCTCCGTCACCTTTCAGTTAAGACTTATTTTCTTCTATTATTAGTTAGTGGATGTCGGCATTCGATTGTGTTTGCGATTCACATTCATAGGGCTCATTACCATTCCACTTATGTTCTGTTGTATTCCAATAGGTCTTTTCTTTCCAAAACATCAGTGGCTAGAGAAGAAGATAAGGCTATCTCTCCTGTTCATCTTCCCTCCATTTCCCATTTTTATAAATGCTTGGGCTTGCATCGTATTTTATGCCCGGTATGAGCTCTTGGATGTTATGCTGCATGCACTGAAGGGTTTTAGGGTTCATGTCACCATTGTTTGTCCATTGGGATCCTAAGGTGTCACATGACTTACCCCCTGTCACTTTGACTAGTTGGGTTCATCAATTAGTGCATATTGCTTACTCTTGACTTTCACTGGAAGAACAGACTTTTTTGGATCTCATCTCATGAAGTTCACCATATCTTGATGTCCCTGGCAGCTCAGTTGTGTTGCCCTCAGAAAGAGATTGTATAGGCTGGTATTCCCCCTGTTTCTCCTAGTGGAGCATGGGAGTCTTTACCACTCCTGGTTTCTAATTGCTAGAGCGGTGGACAGTGGTTTATTCCTCCTGAGTGATCCTTGTACTACTCATTATTCCACACAAGGAGAAGAGGGTGAAGCTGGGTGCCCTCCTGCCAATAACCCTGGATTATTATGCCTAATACATTTATATCTCATTATTTACATGATTTGAGGGTTGCCTTTTCAGAAAGAGGGGACTTAATTTCTTTTGTGTTTATATCTATTCTTTTACAGGGTCCCTCTCATCCTTTTCATTTGGATCCCAATCTGTGATGGGTGTTGCCTGATCAGGTATGCTTATTTCCAAATCTGCTCTAGCTATCAGTCAACCAATCTCAAATATTCCTGGTAGCAATGAGCTCTGTTGAGATGGGGTGTTTCATAAAATCTCCTCGTGTGCTTTCTGGGTGGTACACAGTTATAACACAAAGACAAATACATTACTGGACCACCACTCATGGACTAATATGAATAAAGCTTAAGAGGATTTTGCCCATCCCTGCTCACCCCTAGATTGAATAAAATGGGGTTGGTTTGCTTTTGAAAATATGGAATGTGATTCACCAATTGTATTGTCTCCAGAGCATCATTCCTCGGGACTCCCTAATGTGAGTATACCCCTGTTTCTATTAGTGGAGCATGGGAGTCCTTACCACTCCTGGTTTCCAGTCACTAGAGTGGTGGACAGAGATTTATTCCTCCTGAGTGATACTTCTACTCATTATTCCACAAAAGGAGAAGAGGGTGAAGCTGGGTGCCATCCTACTAATAACCTTGGATGATTATTTCCAGTTGTGTGGAAGCAGAAAGACCAGCCTACCAATGTTCCTTCTTGCAATTCTGGCTCAGAGATGACACTTCACTATCTGGTTAAGTTGTGTGTGTGGCCCTTTTTTTTAGTCATTCTCTTTATTTTGATGATCATGCAAGCGAGTCCTCGACTCATTGTAATTCCACATGTGGTTAGAGAGTTAGGATTTCAGTTCGTAATTGCAGACCAGGTAATCTCTGTTTCTTAATGTTGAGTGAGGCATGACAGGTCACATAATTTCAAGTTTGGTTTGTTATATTTTGTGCTTCTTCAGGTTGAGGAGAGGGTTTGTCCACTTTTGTGTTGCTTGCCTTCTCTGTAATTCTGGTGACAACATTCTGTAGCTTTCAGGTGAGTTCCAATAACATCGTATTACTAAACAAGACCAAATATAAAGTGGTCCTCATACCCTAGCCATTACACCTTAGATCTTGATTTGTCTTCACAGCTGTATAATTCCAATACTGAAACATGGGACCTCATCTGCCTGGTTGGGGCCTGGACGATTTTATGTTCTTCTAAAGATGTTAGGATTTTGCCTCTGGCCGGTTAGCCTTTACTGCCCAGTAATTAGATTTCATGTTGTCCAGGCAAAAAGCATACCTGTTCCAGAAGTAGTGCAGACCCCACTGGTGTGATATTACTATATCTCATTTTCACACCCTTTTTTTTTTTAAAAAAAAAAGCAGATTGCTTTCTGTGTGGATCTTGCCCTCACTGGCCTCTCCACCTTGTTAATGTGGGATTCTAGCTAAATTGTGATAGGAAGCAAGTGTGTTTTGGAGAAAAATCTTCAATTAATTTTAGGTGACAAGAAAAAATATATCATGACCAGCTGAGAACTAATGTTTCAGGCAATGTCAGCTCTCATCAGCCAAGAATGAAAAACAAATGATTCACTGACTGAATCTTTAATGACAGTAATTGTTCTAGGAAGCTGTTTTTAATATCACTTAAAGCTATACTTGTGGAAAATATTTTATGTTTTTAAAGAAGTTTGTTTTACTCTTTAGTTTAAATTTCCATAAAAGTGGACTCTGCAACTTCTCAAGAACTGAGCTCTGTTATTCATTCTGCTAGTTTTACTCTTCCATAAATAGCATAGTGTATATCATTATTTAAGATCATTCAGATAATATTTGTACATTCCTATGCAGGTATTCTGCATATGGTTACAACGTTCTCATAAACTGGCTGTACAATGGTCATAGATATCCTAATCCTGTCACTTAAGTAAAGATTACATGCTATAATGAGTATTCTATAGAGCTTATATCACCTTGACCCCGTGTTTGTTTTTGTCTACTTCTTCGTATGGGGTAAGCCCATATCATAGGGTGATACAGATGCTTGTACAAGGTAGTATGACATAGGTGATCTAAGGATTGCAGGATACCACACTAGGACCCTGGTCTGACTTGAAAGTGTGGTGTTTCATTATTATTTATCCTGCTTTGCCCTGTATGGTTGTTTTTGGAAGCATTATTTTTACTACAGCAGCCAGTTTGAGTTTTAAGGAATGGAGAGTTTGGCCAATAGGTAAAGACACAAAAACAGTTATTGTAAATAAAGATCTGTTTTATTTGATCACTTGCATATTTATACTTCCTTTAGTATCCATTATTGAAATAATACCTTGCATAAAATTTCCAACACCAAATTTTGCAGATACTTGTAACTACGTGATGGATATCTGTGTACCTGAATACCACAGTGGTATATATGTGATCTTTTTTTTATGATAACTTGTTTTTGTAATATTTATTCTTGGCATCATAAGTAGTTGATGTAATTAATGAATTCAAGTTAAATGTTTGAAGAAAAATAACACTGTTTCATCCTATCTTCAGGAGACCTCATGGACTGAAAGGAGAAGCATTTATAGAAGATATAATGATTTAATTCCTAAAACCTCAATATGCTATTCTCCAGTTCAGTCAGTATCCTCTACCCCAGAGCACAGACTTAGGAACACTATAGAGGTAGCATGTACTTCCCAGACAACCAACACTGTGGAAATGGACCCAACATTTAGTTCAAATGAAAAAAGTGCAGAGGAGTTTCTCAAAAGCATCTGGCAAAAAATGGATGTTGGAAGAGATGGGTATCTGAACTTAGAAGAACTGACAAGTGTATGTGAACATATTGGAATGGAAATGTCTGATGATGTAAGCCTTAACATTAAGCTATTTTGTAATATTTTAAGTTAACACTTTTGAACATGTTATTGAGCATATTAACAATATGTAAAAAAGTTCTGACTGTATTTATACTATTTTAGACAGAAAATGAAGCTAAAAAACATGATTGATATCTTTCTACAAAAAAGATTTAATATTTTGTGATTGGTCTAGAAAACAGTGGTATTTCATATTGAATTTTATACAATAGTAGGATATGCTGATGCTTCTTTAAAATATGAGGTAAGACATTGCAGTAAGGGTATGTTTATTTATACCTAGCATCCTTGTTCTATTCATTTATTGTATCACCATCTTGTTACATATTAAACATTCTCTTCAATTAGTCTATTCATTAGAGTTTATTGATCTGTTATAACTAGAATTATATATATCTTAATTAAAACTAATAAAACTCTATTCCAAAACTCATTTTAAAAGTATGAAACCAGGACCATCTACAGGCTAACTTTTCATTTCACATTGGTTTTTTAAAGCTCCATTACTTTAAAGAGGTGTTGGAACCAATTTAGGCTTGATGTTTAAACTTAAAATAATGATGGTTTTTTTATTCTAATGCACACCAAACTATTCACCAATATTTATTTCATATGGAAGGACAATGTAATATGACACAGATACTTACCTAATACACGTGTATGCACGTGTATAATTTCCAACAAATAAACATTTGTTTGGTTATCAAGAACGTTTTTGGGGTGTGTGTGGGTTTTGAATTTATAAAGACATTGGAATCTTACAAAAATCTGTGTTTATTCCTCTGTTGTCACTTGTTTTCTTAGGTTTGATTTAAGAGAGCTTATCAGAGGTGCAAAATTGTCAACTTACAATAAATATGCCAATTGTTAAGAATTAAATACTACCATTTTTATTATTAAAAATGTATATGTGTGTTTATATATATATATATTCTTGTTTTAACATAGAATGAAACACAATAGCTAAGTATACATGTTCAAATTTGAAATGATTTTATCTCTTGCAAGATGACCACTATACATAACTTTTACTATGAAGAATTTCTAATTATTAAGGGAAATTATATTTTGGTTCTACTCTTTTTCAGGTTATACATAATGTGGATCATTTATTTTAGAATTATATAGATAGGCATATTAAATAATAATTGTGTTTTGCATAGGTTGTTACTCAATTGTTTGATAAATTGGATTGTGACCAAGATGGACGGATTAGTTTTGAAGAACTTTTACAAGGACTTTTTCAACATGGAGGACCAAGTGCTACCAATGTATCATCATATTCTTGTGATACTCCTCTTGAGGGAAGTCCTGTTCATAAACCTGAGTTTTTCAAGAGCAATTCTGGGGATGATCGGCAGATGGCGCCAGGGGGGTCTGAATCTGGTGTTTTCTCTTCCATTGATCCTGACAATTCAGGGTAAGTGTTTCAAGAATCATAATTTATTTTGTAAGTTATACACGAGACATAGAACAAATACAAATTATTTATTATAGATAATGTTTGAATTTTGAATACTTGAGTAATCACTTTAAAAACATATCACATTGTGATTTGGAATTTAATGTACACTTAAAATTGTAAAATAGTAATTTTATCACTAAATCTGAAAGAAATTCTTACAAATATTATATATATGTGTGTGTGTGTGTGTGAGATAGCGAGAGAGAGAGAGAAAGTAAATAAACTTAATTTAACTTATTCGATCAGCAAAACAGATGAATGTATTTGCATTGGTACCAGCTTACCTTATGATTTTCGTACTTATTTTGAAAAGCAGGGAAAAGCGAAATTATCGTTTTAGCATTTTTATTTTCATCACATTCAAGATTAAAATGATATTATGACATGTCTATTGTGTATGCTAATGTTTTTTCTTCTTTAGTTCAATACTTTGATTACACTTAGAAATATTATTTATGACAACAGACATATATATTATCAACTGTTTCTTGTATATGTTTCATTTACTCGTGCATCTTAATTGCGTGTAGTGTAAGAAGTAATTTTTTCCAACTTGCGTGTTTGCCTACCAGCTGTATATACGTTATAATAATTTTATTTTTTGACGTTTCCTTTACAACATGAAACATTTTTTTTTTACAATAAAACCACATAAGAAATAGCAAGTCCCTAAAAAGCTGTGTATACGTATTCTCAATAGAAAGGGTTTAAATTATTTTACATTGAGGACTGTAAAAAAAAATGCAGATTGATTGTTTCGTCAGTTCAACACCTCTCTATTGATAACATACTCAAGTCCTCGTTATCTTACATAATTTATCACAGTCTTTCCCCCCCCCCCATAATATGTGAACCATCTTTAATCAATCTTCCCGTGATTCGTTTCAAACATTGATCTTCTCCAGTGCCCGGCTTATGTTAAATTAACAGCAACCTGCTCGACGATTCTTTGCTGGGAGTCTGCCGTTAGGGTGGCAGAAGCGGTAGTACACAATCATGATGCTTACACCAAATAAAGAGCTAGTAAACACACCAACAAAGGCTGGCAGGTGATACCACACGGTTGGCTCCGTCCGCATGTACCACAGTACAGTGAAAGTGACATTCTCGAGAAAAACGATGACGTAATATGCGGTGACTTTGTACCTCGTAGGTTCGTCCTTCACATTGAGAAAACAGATGAGATAAATTGCCCCGATGACCATGTTGAAAAGGTATTCCTCACACTGGCGTTGTTCCCCCGTTTCGCTATCACAGAAATGAGTTTGTTGATGCATGATCCAAACGGTCATGATACCCCAGTGCCCCACACATACTGGCACTAGCCACAACTTGTACTGTGAAGCAAACAGCGCTAGTGCAAACACACGTGCTCCGATGGTACAAAAACGCCATATAAATTGAAGCGCAGTTCCAGTTCGAGTCATGTTCTTCTTGTTTGCAACTGACCGTCGAAGAGCACGTTGATAAAATGCTAAAGTCCAGGAAAGGTCAAATAGTGACGAACTCACAGAAGCCACCTGGAGACAAACTGTAAAACACCGTGATGATAAACATCTGCCCTGTATATACCGCTATTATATTAGATTTATTGAATCTGATCTAAGTAACCTTATATACTGGAATTTCAATATTTCAAATAAAGTGGTAGTTAGATTGCAAAGTATAAATTTACAAAATACCGCTATGCATAATATTATTCTTATTAGATACTGACATATAATTCCAGTGTTAAGAACAGACTTTAAAGCTTATTGAATTATTCTAAGTTTAAATAACAGAAGTATGCATAAGGTAATAAAATACACACTAAGATAAAATAAGTTGAAATACCATTTGAACTATAATAATATTGTAAACATTAGCTTCACTGCGGCGAAATTTGTGACAGATAAATTCAGAAAACTTGCTAGCTGTACCTGTCGTAAGATCAGCAGGCACCTTCTCTCGCTGAGTTAGAATGTAAATCTGTAACACCAGTTGAGGCCCCGATTCCATGAAGCTCTCTAACAGAGCAAGAAGAGCAGCATCTCTGTCTTCCTGAATCATCAGAAGATGGTAGTCGACATCGCTTGGTTGCTCTATTCGCACTGGTGATGGCTGTCGGTAAGTAAGATGCCAGTTTCGTTCTCTGCGCCGTTTTTCTTTGTGGAGCTGTCGACTACGGAATCCATAGATAAGTAAGTCAATATATCTAAAAAAAGAAATGCTCGATTTAACGGGAGTAATCAGACAATACAAAAAAAAAGAGAGAGATAAAATACAAGTAGAATATACAGTTGACTCCCCAGTAACGTCCTGGTTACGTCCTTGAGAATTACGATGTTATTGGAAACGACGTTACTGGGGGGTCCAGTTCCCCATTGGTGTAATGGTATAAGTTGGAGTCGTGTTCCAGCAGCTTAATTGAACGTCCTATATATGACAAAAGGCAACGTATATTACAAAGTATAATACAATAATAATAAAGAATACGTACCATAGTACAATATTGATAAAAAAGTTGAGCTGGCAATGGTTAAGTAAATAAGGCCAGTAAAGCTAACCCACGGAAGGAGTTTACAAAAAAAAATGTTAAGTGTTTTTTTTTTGTAATTTCTACTTTTTTTTCTTTTTAATTTTATCTAATGTTTATTAAATATTTTTTCAACGACGAAATTGGGGACGACGTTAATGGGGGGGGGGGTCGACTGTACTTGTTGAATTATGTAGGAGATCCAAACTTACGAGAAAAACGTATTAAAATAAAGTGAAAACATCTGTAAAACCTCGCACGGTTAAGTCGCCAGTGCACATTGTCCACCTGGCGGTATTATGTTAAATTGCTTCACATATCGCGGATTTTATTCGTATGTGTAATCATCTCGTAATCGTAAAATTACATCATGATTGAAATACATACCGTGTAATTTACTGTAAGTATGATTTACGGAACAAAAGTAAAGATATAAGTATTTTGTGTTTTACTGTAATTTACTGTAAGTATGACTTATGGAACAAAAGTAAAGATATAAGTATTTTGTGTTTTACTGTAATTTACTGTATGATTTACGGAACAAAAGTAAAGATATAAGTATTTTGTGCTTTACTGTAATTTACTGTATGATTTACGGAACAAAACATTGCCAAATTATGTATATAATTGGTTCAAGTAAAATGTATCCTATAAACTTCAAGGCAGTTACGTTCTGTTTATCTTTGGAATGTTGTTTCAAGACCAACGTATTTGAACAGCGATAATAACTTGAAGGAATAGCTTTACTTCAGGAAGGATAAACACTTCTTACTTAATACGAGGGATTGCTTTGAATACATCAGACACTTATAAAGCGTTTAATATTCATCAATTTGAATAACATGAACCGTAGATCTCACACTAATGTGTTTTGAAGAGGTCGGAATTAAAGTTCAAAAGTGTGAGAATTTAATTACCCCGTTTCTTCTCGACGTATATATATAAACTTGAAATCCCGGGAAGATTTATAAACATTGATCTTTTAATGTCAAGTTCATGTTTAAAGGATTGGTCAATATATTAAATACACTTATGATTTACACAAAATTTTACGTGTAACAGATTTGAATAAGTAATATTAACACGATATTAATTATGGACATGGCGTCATGTTCTAACAGTAACTATTATTTTTTCCCCAGACTTCCCTGCATCCTTTTCTAAGTTATAAAGAAACACGTTGCACATTTTAGAAAAGAAGACATTTGATAAATTACCTGCACTAAGATATTTACGTAATGCCACATGTAAAGCTATATTTTCAAAGGATAGATAATTAAAAGCCCTTTTTTTCTATAAATTATGCTTGACACATTTTGATATACGCAATCTTCTAAGAAGTAAATAACATTAACAGTACAATCCTGATATGATTCAAACAGCAATAAATACATTTATAACCTATCAGGTTGGTTTCAGTTTTTTTTTTTTATGTTTCATGACTTCATTAAAAGTTCGTGTTCATTATCGTCCACGGAACGTATTTAATAACGGCTGCGTTAATTCATGTTTCAATAGATTTCGTGTATCGTGCCTGTAATGCATCATGCATAGACTCGCGGAAATTAAATTGCTCGCACTATTTGTCTATATCAAAACTGGGTGCTTCCTGTTAACTCATTACGCCATTCGCTTGTCGTAAAGATAATCGAAAACGTGTAATATTGTGCTCATTTGTCGTAAGGATAGACCAAAACGTGTAATTTTCGTTGTATTTGTTAATAATTTTTCTTGTAAATATTTTTGTTTAAAAACATTACTTTTATTGGGGTTCCAAAACTTCTAAAACAAACTGTACATTTCCCATCTAAATCCATTTTAAACGTGTCTTATGTTACTCAAACCTTTTATAAAACACAATTCTGAGAGTAATGTCATCTGTTTTATGGTATTCGAGATGTGTTATAGAATAGAACTTACTTCACAAAAAATTCTAAAGGCATCTGAATGCAAAATGTAGTATTGAAGTATTGAAACATTTTTCGAGGACTGGATGTCGACATATCTTTTTGATGCCCCCCCCCCCCCGGTTGATAAGCGATATAAATTTACGAACTTACGCCGCTAAAGTTCAGGGTTCGATTCCTCGCGGTAGACAGCGTGCAGATAGCCCATTGTGTAGCTTTGCACTAAAATGCTTTGTTACATTTAGGTATGTAATTAATAGAAAAAAAACGAACAAATATTTAAATTATTCATCTCGCATGTCTGGCTTGAGGACTTTGGTTATGTATTTGATATACTGATTAGGTAGTTCAAAGTTAATATCTAAACATTTGTTAAGCGTTTAAAAAACATTAAAGCAGGCTTATAAAAAAAATTGTCTCCTTTTCCTCCTCACTTTCGAAACTAAATGTGGAAGGGATGTTTTTAGTCGGTCTCTAATGTGTACCTCAAAAACTATCCAGACAGCAGGATAGGTAAGGTAAGTTATGATAGTCTCCCATAACTATCTTGAAGGAAGGAAGGGCACTCGTATTTATTTATTTAAATTTATAGTGTACCAAACGTTTTAAGACCAAAGTTAATCATGTACTTTCTTATTCGTGCTAAGCCTGATATTCTAAGTTAAAGCTGAATCACTTCAGGTCTTGTGCATTACCTGTTTTGGTTATAGCAGGAAATATGAGGAAGACTAGGCAAATATATTCTCTTTTTAGACTAAGTTCATGCTAAAGAAAGTATGTACGCATTAGTTTTAGGTTTGTTTCAGGAACCGCGAAGTACAAAAATGGTGTTACCTGTACGCTCTTGCGAATTGTACGGAAGATTGTGTAGCATCACATTTTTACTAACTGTTACTTGTATTACTATTATAATGCTTGACACTCAAAAAGCCACAGGATTATAACATCTTTATATTTAGCTACATGTGTAGCTTTGAATAACACAAGAAATCTAAACTTTTTTTTGTGAATTATAATAAAATCAGATATTATTCGAACACAATTATTTCTAAGGATTTTTCAACTGCACAATTACATTTTAACTCCACCATTTTGTTAATACATGACGCTTTATTGCACCTCATATATACAGGCCTAGTAACAAATGATCCAAAAAATGGAGAATATTCTAGTAAATACATGCATTTATCAACTCTGGAATGGAATTTTATAACCTTAAATATGCTTTTTTTATATAATTATCCAATTGAACTTACTTATGTAGGCGAATTTTCAAGTGCACAAATAGGTGCACAACTTGTGATCACCTGCACACTAGGAAAAACCCCGAATTCGAAATGCCTGACGTACAGCAAAGAATATTATTTTGTAATCTGCCTCTAGATTAATGAACACTGTTAAATTACAAATTAACTGCAGTAGTTCGTTTGTTTTTAAGCCCAAAGCTGCACAATAGTTTCTTTATGTTGTTCCTACTGCAGGGATCGAACCTTGTCATCGATCGTATAAGCCCTCAAGTTTACCACTGAGACACAGGAGCGCAACTCCAGTCGTATTTTAAGTTCTTGCTATGAAATGTAATCGCTTGTTTACTTTCGTATTTATCATACTATGTATTCCACTTGCCCCCAGTAAAATAAAAATCACCTTTTTGTCAAATGATGGGGGTTTGTACTTTTAGAACTTGAATATGTGAATGGATTTGGTACATTTAAAATTATACTTTAAGACCAATCGTTTCTACAATATGCACTACTCGAGACTTTTCTGTTGTCCTTGACAAAATAATTTAAATTCAAACTTAGGAAAGGTTTGAACTTGATTTTGTCTAGTTCAGATCATTTGTAATCAGCTATAAAGAGTTACCTGATTACTGGTCCGAGGAGAAGAAGGTGGAAGAAAATACGAACCACCCAGTTTAGTTTCGTCATATGAGGTCGAGGGTGTGTGTGGACCTTCCTCTCCTTGATGTACCAGCGGATGCTTAAGATGTTAACTGTTAATGCTGGAACCGCCGTGGCTGCTACCGTGAAACCGAACCACCACAGGTTGTCTTCCACATAGAGAAAGTAGCTCACTGCCACATCTGTACCAACGTTAATTATGTATAAAACGATACAAACAAAGGTAGCTAAAGCATTGAGCATGGTGAACTGGTCCTGTTCTTCCCATGTTTTAGCGAGTACCAATTCATTATGGTGAAGAGGATAGGTTTGGTCAGGCAACTGATGTTCCAACGTGATAGTCTCAATCTGGCAACTTTCGTGATCGTTGGTCGTCTTCGGGTTTCTCTTTTCATTCTTGTTCATATGCTGGCGGCAAATTTTGATAGCTGGATGATGAATATCAGCGAACTGGTCAGTTTCATTCACGGTGGCCTTTGAACGTCTGTCCACTATATCATAGAGTCACAATTATTGTTTTAAACTAAGAATCATAAAAGATGAATAATGACATACACTATGAAAATGAAATTAAAAAATAATATTAGCATTGCCATTATCTGTATCTGTTTCTTTATGCCTACTTTAATAATAACTATTGCTTCTCGATGTTTTGATTTTATATGTTTCGTTTTTATTTTCACACATATGGTTGGTGTTGTTTTAGCTTGTGCGCTTGCATATACCGCCTCGAGGCATTTCGGTTTTTATATTTACGTATTGTTGTAACAATTTCTTTTTGATTATTTGGTAAAGTAATGCAAAGTCCATACCACTAATGAAAAATAAAACGTTTTACTTCTTCATCACAACTTCTAGAATCTCACCCAGCTATAGGCCTAACTCACAAGTAAGACTAAACAGTCACTTGTTAAGTTTCCTTTTGTATCTATGGCATTAACTCATAAATTTACAGCATTGAACTGACTTACTAACTAACTAACTAATTCACTGATTAACTCATCAAAAACAATTCTCTGATGTTTTACTCAAGTTTCTAGAAAATTCGAGATGTTATTTCAAATTGACATACTAAGGAAATTTCTAGGTGTCACACATCATCATTACGTCATACCAATACTCGATCTAAACAATACCAAATTAAAATATGGAAACGAACCCTACAACACGCCCTCTTCCATGGATTGTGAAGCCCCCTGAAAATTCCTAATACACATATAAAACAATAATATGTTAATCTTGCATAACTAGTAATAAAGTCACTATTTACAATTAATAATCATAGGTAGACATTAAAGCACTAAATTAGTAATGGAATATGTCTGACCGTTGGGCAAGATTCTCTTAAATACGCTACTGGATTAAAACAAGTGTCCAGTTGCACAAGTAGTGATATATAGATATACTCAGGATGTGCTATTGTTCTGTGGATATCCAGCTGTAACGTGACAATCTTTTTCTTTTTTCTTTACATATGAGATAAGCAAAAACCATTTTTAACTAAAAGGTATATCAATTATGCCACTTTTGTACAACCTTCAATAAGGATATTATGAAAAATAATTTTACAAATTCACATAATAGCTACGGATTATGCATAACCTTCTTTTTTATAGCTTTTTAACTTTCAAAGCTATAATTTTATTCAACACTAAAGTAAATTCTGCTGAATCATTTGTTTTCGATGGCATGATGGTTTACTCAGTGTAAATAAAGTAATCAACATAGTCAATACAGAACATAAACTCTAGGGACACTCAAGTAGAGAGCATACCTCCGCCACCCAGCGTTGATCATATTCGACTCTCCGTAGTTATCAAAGGGCATGGACCACTTTTTCAGAACAATGAGGAATAATATTCTACATACCAAGTTTTATCAAAATCCGATCACATTTGACTGAGTAAAAATGAGTGAAAAATCGGTCCCCGTGTTAACAGATAGGGATTTTTTAATTTATTATCATGACCTTGCTGTGACCTTGACCCTCCAAAAACTATTCACTTCTAAGTTGTGCCATAGTCCAAACGTATACCAACATTCGTCAAAATCCATTCGGCCGTTATCGAGAAATTTTGCTGACAAACACACACACACAGAGGGGTGAAAACATAACCTCCACCCAGTTTCGGTGGCGGAGGTAATAACTATTTTCACCATAAACCTTTACATTCCAACACAATCCTAAGCATTTAATTTTATTCAACTCCACCAAAAGTTGTGCGAGATCCATCTTTTACCACTGTGTGGTCGTTGATTTTGTATAGATTACATAGTCCCCAGTGAGTTTATGGACTTACAACACTAAAATCCTGGATTCGATTCCCCGTTATGAACAGAGCGCAGATAGCCTATTGTGTAGCTTTAAAGTAAACAAAAATAAACATAGATCACAAGTATAGTTGCTATAGGATGTAAATAACTTTTCTTTTTATTCCAACCTTACATACTCCAACACCATAGAGATTTAAAACTATGTTTGTTATCTCTAACTTTCCACAAGTTATATTCTAAGTTCTCTTGAAATACATTTCTGATTTTAAGAAATAATCACTTTTGGCTTGTTCTCTTCATAACTTCATAAGGTCCCCCCCCCCCTTCAAGTCTGGCTATTGGTGAATTAAAATATTTAGAATTTGTCCAGTAGCATGAGATATCAAATAAACTTAGGCTATATTAATATTCTGTGGACAACTGGCTCAAACTTACCACATATTAACTAAGTTGCCCCCAGTGGCACAGCGGTATGTCTGCGGACTTACAACGCTAGAAACCGGGTTTCGATACCCGTGGTGGGCAGAGCACAGATAGCCCTTGTGTAGCTTTGTGCATAATTAAACAAACAAACAAACAAACAAACAAACAATTAACTAAGTTTATACGTGTTTCTCTACTTTGTAGTAAAAATCTTAGTTAATTCAATATATTTTTTAGTTAGTTTCTTTCTTATGTAGTACTAACTACAATGGAAAAATGTTGGCAGACAAGGTACGTGAAGCTTTACATGTGTTAATTTTACTTTGATGCTTATTAATTCACTAAGCAGCCCCAGTCCTGTCTTGTGTTCTTTTGATAAGAGCCAAAAACATTGCTAACAACGAGGATACCTAACTGATGACCTTTAAAGGCGTTTTAGTTTTCCTGTCACTCATAATTAAGATTAATTATTAGTAAAGTTTATGCAATAGATACAAGAGGGAATTTAACAACTGGCTGTTTAATTTTATTTGTGAGTTAGACCTATCGTTCGATAAACGTGTGTTAGAAGGAATGAAACGCTTTACTTTTCTTTAAGTGGACTGGACTTTGCATTATTTTTACAGAATAATCAAAAAGAGCCCGTCAGTGGCAAGTTAACCTGCTGAAGGATTTTGTCAGGACAATTTTCAGTGTCACCAAGGAATATCTAATTGGAGAGAACTCCCACAGTGACAAAACAACAAGTGACGATAAACAAGATGAGGTCAACTCATCTTCGTACCACAAGCCACAGAAAAAAAAAGAACACAGATTGGAGAGAATTAACAGTTTAGATACAGTAAATAACAAAGATTTGGTTGATTGTACTTCAATTACGCAATAACTTTTACCAAAAATTTGCTAAACATCTTCAATAAAAATTACAATCGTTTAGGGGGAGTTCTGGCATAACATAGTGGTGATGTGTCACACCTAGAAATTTCCTGGGTGGCTAGATTTGAAGTAACGTCTCACATTTTCTAGAGACTTGAGGCGGAGGGGGGATATTTCTTAAAAACATCAGAAAGTTGTTGTTGATGAGTAATCAGTTAGTTAGTGAGTCAGTTCAGTGCTGTACATTTTTGTATAAAATGTCTAAGTTAAAATATTAAACACATAGCCTAAAACAATATATGGAATCGTGTTTTGACTATGTTTTTACATATGATGTCTTACAGTTTTCTTTTTTTGTTTACATGTATAGACGAGTGGTGTTTCGTTTTGTGACTTTACGTATATGGACCTATAGTGTTTCGGTTTTGTGGTTACACACACACACACACACACACACACATATATATGTGTGTGTGTGGATCTGTGATGGTGCCGAGAATAAACACATAATTTTGATATGATCAAGAACATATTGACGTTTTGTACTTTCGTACTGACAATTTATTTTTGTATGTACAACAAATTACCCCGAATTGGGAGAACAGTTTTGTAGATTTCTACAGTCAAAATTGTACTGGCAATCTGTTTATATATATATGTATATATCAAATTTACACGGGTAGTTATGAGTAAAACATGTATTTATTTCAAGAAAGTATTAGCGTGTTGGCCCGCCTCTGGCTTTAATAATGCGTCATGGAAAACTATATTAATGTCTGGTAGAAAACTGGTGGTATTGTGCTCCACTCCTCCTTTAGCATTAGTAAGTTCCACTACTGAAGAGAGCTGTCTTAGCCTTGCCCTGATTCTGAGTTCCAGTTCATCCCAAAAATGTTCTATCGGGTTGAAGTCGGGGCTCTGTGCTGACCACTGAGATGTTCCGATGTTATTCACTTCAAACCACGCGTTTACAATCCTTCCTTTGTGACATGGAGCGTTATCATGTTGGAAGGTGTAAGGGCCGGTACCAATGTAGGACACACAGAATTATTCAGAACACCAATGTAAGACGTTCATGGATCCATGCACTGCGACCAGTGGACCTAGTCCATAAACGAGAAGCATCCCAGCTCATGATAGCACCACCTCCAACTTCACTGTTGGGACAACACACTCAGGTAATAAAAGTTCTCCAGGCATCCTCCATACCCAAACACGTCCATCAGACTGGAATAGCGTGTAGCGTGACTCGTCACTCTACAGGACCGATTTCTATTGATCCACAGTCCAGGTTCGGTGTGTCTTGTCCCATGCCAATCGACTGTGTGCATTTGTTTTTGTTATCAACGGCTTGTGGGCTGCAGCTCTTCCGTGAAAATTCATGGCATGCAGCTCTCGACGTGTCATGGAAACAGTTATGGGATTGCCCGTGGCTGCTCGCGTCTCCAAACATCTAGAGTGTGATGGCGAGATGAGGTGACCAGCCTTCTCAAGGTGCGTCGACTCCTGTCAGTCAGTATTTTACGCATATTTGGTCGTTTCTTGAGCTCATTGTCATCTGTGGACTTCCATTTTTTCAGCACTTTGCCAACTGTCGAACTGGGAATGTTTAATTGTTGCGAAATAGCACACATTTTCCCCAAATAACATTCAACTATCCTTTGAAACTCTGTTACTTCTTTCCGAGTACTTATCGTTCAGCTTAAAAGTTCGAAATGAGGTCCGAGCGAACCGCTGATCACCCTTATAGGCCAAACTATCTGCATATTTCGTCATAACATCCATTTTTCCTGCAATCAGAGGTGTGTCTCATGGATTTTGGTAGGAGAGTGTAACTAATCTAACATGGAGTTCGCCAGGGTTCATTTCTGAAATCAGTAACTCAGGTAGGCCTAAGAAAGCCGTGAGTCAGTAGCAT